TGTGTATGCATATGTATGATACAGGTTTGTGTATCAAACACATGTTTGTTGTGTACGTGTTGGACCAGTTCTGTTTTTGGCAGCTAGTGTCTAACCCTCTCTTCAACATGTCTCATATGGCTAACACAGACACGTTCAAACCCTTTAAGCCACAAATGTCTTCTTCTGAATCATCAAATCTCCCTGCTAACTAATTTAGATTTTTAAAGTCGTTCCACATCAGTAAACTTGAGGATTTTCTCCCTGTGGGACACTGTAGATAATAGTTTAACAAATCTGTTTGTATTTATATGGCTGTATTAGTCAGAATCGATCAGTCAAGCTGTCATCAGATTTTGGTGGCTGTTGTAAAAAGTGGTTTTGACTGTCTGCAGTGCTTTGGTTGTTGTATCTTAATATGTATGCATGTGGCGGAAGAAGTGTTTACGGTTTTGGAGGATTTCTGGTCTCCAGGGATCTTATTTTGGAGCTTTGATCTCAGGGAGGTCTGTCCCAATGGGTGGTTATGTGTGTGTTGTGAGTTGTCTGATTTATATTTCCTGTCATTGGGCGACAGACCGGCGCTCAGTAATTGTACCAGCATTTGTTGTAAGCAGGACAGTGCACTATTCAGAGTTGAACTGACATGATAATTCAATTGTAGTCAATTTCCTAAATTTCATATGAGCAAGTAAATATAAACTAATATAATATAAAAGTACCATTAAAAATGTATTATTGTATTACTGAAATTATTGTATCAAGTCAACCTTATTACATTAAATATTAAGCCTGTCACAATATCTATTTTTTATTGTATGATATAGAGCACCAAAATATATTGCCATAAATTATATAATTGTCATTTTAAGGCCATTTTATGCCACACATTTTATAATGATTGAAAGACAATATAATATCATCATAGTGCATGTACACTCTTCCAAAGAACACATAATATTTTATTCTTAAGAATATTCATTTAATTTAAGTCATTTTAACAATTTAATAATCAGGCACTGGAATCATAATGTGAAAATGCATATCCTAAATAAAGAATAAGAAATATACTTTTAAAAATTGCAAGGTAAAAGTAACAGAGGCTGCGAAATCTGTACTAGATCTATTTTCAGCTGTCAGACACCCACATAAACATATACTTTAGTAATTTATAAAAAAATACTACAGTGTATTTTAACCATACTGACACTGATCCCTCCAACAGACATAGAGATGTTGCAAAATCAGCTAAAATGTTGCTAGAATTGGTATTTATGTAAAGACGATATATATTGCATCACCAAAAATGATTGTGGTCATTTCTTCTGGAAAAAGTCTTCTTTGTTTTATGTTGGCTATAATAAAAGCCGTTTTTAAATTTTTATGAACCATTTTAAGATCAAAATTATTAGCCCCTTTAAGCAAATTTTTTATCGACAGTCTACAGAACAAAGCATCGTTATACAATAACTTGCCTAATTACCTTAACCTGCCTAGTTAACCGAATTAACCATGTTAAGCCTTTAAATGTCACTTTAAGCTGTATAGAAGTGTCTTGAAAAAATATCTATAGTCAAATATTATTTATTGTCATCATGGCAAAGATAAAATAAATCAGTTATTAGAAATGAGTTATTAAAACTATGATGTTTAGAAATGTGTTGAAAAAAATCTTCTCTGCGTTAAACAAAAATACAGAAATTGGGGGAAAAAAGTAACAGGAGGGCTAATAATTCTGAATTCAACTGTATGTATACACACACACACACACACACACACACACACACACACACACACACACACACACACGCATACATACAGTATATACAAAACTAAATGCAATTGAGTTAGTCCAACTTGATTTTATCAAATAAAAGTTTAAATACATTTGTATTTTCATTCAACTTAAACTCAAAGGTATGATAATATTATGTATGTCTATTATGTGCCGTACATTTCAGTCTCTTATAGTATTATTTAAAGTTATTTTAAATGACATAAAAGAGCCCTTTTTCAGCCAATGTCATGAGTTACATGTACAGTTGATCGAGACTGATCTCACAGAGCAAAGCAACTGCATTTTTGCTAATTAAGCTGCCCACACCCAAAACATGGGTGCTTTTGCAAGGTGACAATCTCGAAACTTGAAGCATTACATGAAAATCTTCTAAGTCTTCAAACTAAAGTGAAGATTCAACTTTAACAAGTCTTTTTATTAACTTTAAACACCTAAGATTACTTTTATTGTCAATATTTTCCTTTCTTACATTAATCCCACACAAAGCATGATGGGAACTACAAATCCCCTAACCAGGTAGTTGGACCAACAATTCCTTCATGTTATTTCAAAACAAAATGCCCAAGTTAAATTAATGCTTTCCAAATTAAAGTAGACTGAAATATAACAAATAAATCGCCCAAAGAAATTACAAGAATTGTGTTGTTTCAGTTCATTCTAAACAGGTAGTTTAAACCAGCAGCAGTCTTTTTTTTTATTGTAAGCCTATTAAATATTTTTATTATAACCTATGCATAAACGTGTTATTATAAATTATATATTTTATTTTTGTTGGTTTATACATTCATACTTGCCCATTCAAATGTTTAACCAGTTTGTTTGTTTAGAAAGTTGTAACAGTTACTACATAAAGTATATAAAAAAAAATTTATTTAAAATTAAATTCAATTTAATTCAGTTCATTTTCTTTTCGGCTTAGTCCCTGTATTAATGTGGGGTCGCCACAGCGGAATGAATCCCCAATTTATCCAGCATGTTTTTATGCAGTGGATGCCCTTCCAGCTGCAACCTATCACTGGGTAACATCCACACTTATTCACACACACCAATTCACCTTTACCGCATGTCTTTGGACTTGCGGAGTGCCCGGAGAAAACACAGAAATGTCAACTGACTCGAACCAGCGACCTTCTTGCTGTGAGGCAACAGCACTACCTACTGCGCCACCGCGTCACCTTAATTTAATTTAATTTAATTAATTTTTAATAATATTTATTTATTTATTTTTTAAAGGTATATTTTGTGTTTTTATGCCTAATCCAGCTAAATATTTTCTTTATCAGTAACACTATACATGCAAATACAATCGATCAATTAATTAATCAATTATCTGTTCAATCTGGGGTCGATTTTTTGTCATTCTATGGATTATTCCACTCCACACAGTTCTGTCAATCTTCTTTGAGTTTGTGCATGCTCATGTTGGCATCATATTTGACAGTATCAAACCAACAAGTTCTTGGGAGGCCTTCCACTGACCATTTCCAGCACGAATGCCTTCTCTGATGAATTGCTACGCATGACATGGCCAAAATAGGGTAATTTCTGTTTTGTAATCTTGGCTTTTTCCCAGTGATGGGTTGCAGCTAGAAGGGCATCCACTGCATAAAAAACATACGCTGGACAAATTGGCAGTTAATTCCTCTGTGGCGACACCAGATTAATAAAGTGACTAAGCTGAAAAGAAAATGAATGAATGAATAATATTGGCTTCACATGCAAACACACTTGTTTATAATTAAATACATTTTAAAGAAGTATAATTAGTTAAAAATACTGGTCATTCAACTATGTAAACTATGTAAAATTCTCCTATTTTGCGACTTTATTTGAATCCCAATATCTTTTGCTGGTTATTCAATTTCAATCACAAGCCAGTCTGCAGGGTGTGGCAAATTCAGTTTAGAATGAGGAACATGAATGAACGTCAGTTGTGAAATACTACAGTACATTTTGCCCAGCCCTACTGATGAGTCCGTCACAGCAATGTGATTTAAAATGTACAAAATGTGAGAAATTTATTAGAATAATAGCAACTGTTAAAATTTATTATTATATACTTATTCTTATTTGCATAATCCTTTATAGTAACAAAATATTTAAAGCCAATTTATAACCACTTCCTTGTTACTGGTGTTTTTTGACGCCTATCCAAAGTATGTCATTTTCTAGGAATTAATTAATCGTTTTCTCTCTCTCTTGCTCTTTCTCTCTCTCCTCCCTCTCTCTCTCATTCTTCTCTAGGGTTGTTGACAAGTTGACAGGCCACAGTTTTGAGAATCACTCTTAATTTTAAACCCAGAAATTGGTCCTTAATGCCCTTTTTTGAAATGAGAAAGAAACCATTTTTCATGCTAGGCATTTTTCATGTGTTAGGCTGGGTCCCTTTTTTACATATTGTTACGTATTATAAAGTATTTTTCAGCAAGTTGTTGTGAGACTTTTCCCTTGGAAATGTTTATCCTTGGTTTTATGTAAAAAAAACATATTTCTTTGTCAATTGTTTAATTTTGTAATACCACAGGCTAAAATGGCTGTTTATAGGAGCAGAAGAAAGAAAATTGAACACAACGTAGAGCGTAATGTAGCGGTTTTATTTCAAGTATGGTACAGGCAAGGGTTTTGACTGATTTTAATTACTAAAAGCAAATGGATGATTAGGACACTTTTGAAAACATTTGGTGTTTTGTGCTGTATGTATGAGAAGAATGTTGCTTTTACTTTTATTTGAAATGCATATGGTCTTATACAACTTGAAATGAATTATTTATAGTTGTATTGCATTGGGTTCAGTGCATGAGAAAAGCCAAGAGAATTATCAGCGACTCCAGCCACCCAAGCCATAGACTTTTCTCTCTGCTACCCTCAGGCAGACGGTTCCGCAGCATCCGGTCACGCACTAGCCGGCTGAAAGAAAAGCTTCTTCCCTCAGACTATCAGGCTGATGAACACTTAACACACACCACACAGTTGTTGTTGTATTTTGCTGTTGTATATGCTGTTGTATTTTGCACTGTCGTTGTATATGCACTGACTGTTTTGGTACTGTCTGGAGCCAGTACCTAAGCTTTTCACTCATCATAGCACACGTGCTGCCGATGATGTGACAATAAAAGTGATGTGATTGATTTTTGATTTGATATGATTTGATGTAATGAAGTTTTGTAAAATTCAAATTCTCTCTCTTTCTCTCTCTCTTTCTCTCTCTCTTATTCTTCTCTAGGGCTGTTGACAAGTTGACAGGCCACAGTTTTTGAGAATCACTCCTTCAGTGTGTCGTACATACTGGACAAGGAGGCAGGAAGGGACGGGGCTGGAAGACCCCAGGTCCCGCGAGGGGCATCTAAAATGGTGACAGGAAGTCGGGAGCAAGAGTTTGGTCAACCAGGGGCCATGGGAGGCCCCCAGGGGCCCAGGCAGCGTCAGCAAGAGCTGCCTCTAAGAATCCTAGTACCTACTCAGTTTGTGGGAGCCATCATTGGAAAAGAGGGGCTCACTATAAAGAACATTACCAAGCAAACACAGTCCAAGTAAGAAAGTATTTCGAATCAGTTTGTTTTATTTGTTTATTTAAATATTTAGATATTGATCATGTATTATAGTTTAATGACTGGAAACATTTTACATTTACACTTGACACATTTTTTTCTGTTTAGTTGAAAAAAAAAGTAGGAAGCAGAAATTTTGTTAGTATCAGCATTTGAGCTCATTCATTAATTTTTCTTCGGCTTACTCTCTATTTCAAGGGTCGCCACAGAGGAATAAACCGCCAACTATTCCGTCATATGTTTCACATAGCAAATGCTCTTCCAGCTACAAACAAGTACTGGAAAACACCCATATACTTTATCATTCACACACACACACACACACACACGCACACACACACACACACACACACACACACACACACTTAAACACTAAGGCCAATTTAGTTTATTCAGTTCACCTATATCGCATGTCTTTGGACTCTGGGGCAAACTGAGACACAAAGAGAAAACCCATATGAACATAGGGAGAACATGCAAACTCCCCCAAAAATTGCCAATCAGCCCAGCCAGGATTCGAACCTGCGTCCTTTTTGCTTTGAGGTGACAGTGCTAACCAATGAGCAACCATGCTGCCCACTTGAGCTAATATTATCTTTATTTAACTATTATTTTACTAGTTAAATGGTTGCACTGTAATACTTGCATAATCTGACTATTTCAAACCTAATAGTATAAAACGTGTAACTTGTATAAAAGCATAGGTACTATGTGCATGACGGCCCATACTGTACATACAAATAATTTAATCTGTTTGTATTATATGCAGAATGCATGATTGCCAGTGTACAGAGATTTGGCAAATTAGTGAATATACTGTTGGTTACATAGAAAAAATAATTATAAGGCATTAGACATCATTAGAAAACACCATAGATTGCATTTATACTGCTTATAGTTTAACCAGTGGAATATAATAATCATATTTGTTGTGCAAACATCGGCAAATATTTGCATTCGAAAACAGGTACAAACGTTAAGCAATGTTTAATTTGAGTTATCGTGTGTTCAAATAAAACTATATGTAACACAAAGCAATGGAAAGAAATCACCTGTAGATGACCTGTTTCACCTGTTTAACTACTTCATTATCCTAACAATGCTGCTTGACATTCTCAATGAAAAATTCGGCGACGCCGTGGCGCAGTAGGTAGTGCTGTCACCTCACAGCAAGAAGGTCGCTGGGTTGCTGGTACAAACCTCGGCTCAGCTCAGTTGGCGTTTCTGCGGGTTTCCTCCAGGTGCTCCGGTTTTTCCTACAGTCCAAAGACATGTGGTACAGGTGAATTGGGATGGCTAAATTGTCCGTTGTGTATAAGTGTGTGTATGAATGAATGTGTGGATGTTTCCCAAAGATGGGTTGCGGCTGGAAGGGGATCCGCTGCATAAAAACATGCTGGATAAGTTGGCGGTTAATTCCGCTGTGCCGACCCCAGATTAATAAAGGGACTAAGCCGACAAGAAAATGAATGAATGTACAGGAATTTCATGATGGGTGCTAAATGTATAGCGTGGTATTAATGTTTTCTGACACCTAACTCTTCAGTCACATTATACTTCAAAATTGTGGTGTCATTCTTTCCTCTATCTCAGGGTAGATATCCATCGTAAAGAGAATGCTGGGGCGACTGAGAAGGCCATCACTATTCACTCCTCTAAAGAGGGCTGTTCACAAGCCTGCAGGATGATTTTGGAAATCATGGAAAAAGAGGCCAATGACACTAAGATGTCAGTAACTTTACACTTTACAAATACATTTCCTGATAGTAAACTCACATTTATAGGCCATCCAAAATCTAGCTGAATTATTATTTTTAGTACAACATTGAAGAAGAGTTTCAGCTGAAACCATGGTCCAAATAATGTTGAAATGACTCATCATTTCACTTCAGTGTTTGAGTATCTTGCGTTCCCTAAAGAGTGTGATTTTTTTAAACTCTCAAACTGCCATTGACTTCCATTTTATGAATAACAAATGACTATGGTTTCAGATATTGAAACCTTTTTTTAACTGTTGTACTGAAGGAAAATATAACTTACATCTTGGATGGCATTAGGAGGGTTGTGCAATCATGTGCTGCTTTTTGGTCGTGGCAGATTTAAATGTCTCCACAATCTGATTTTGAAAAAAATTGTAGTATTGTGCTACAATGCCTGTTGTATATGTTGCTAGAACCCTCTGTCTTAATAAACTGTACAACCTGACATACATTGAAATATATATTAACTCAGTAGTACCATTAAACTCACAGGATAGTAAATTTTTTCATAAAGACAGAAATATTTAAATTTCATGTGCTGTAAGACCCTGTGTGACAATATGTGCAGGTCTTAAAATGACAGCAGACTAATAGACTTAACATGCTGCCACTTGCCATTAAAAGATAATTTGTCTCAAAAATTGTAATTCTGTCAATTTTTGCTTACTCTGATTATGTTCAAAAAATGTTATAGTTTATTTCTTGTGCTGAACACAATGGTAGATATCCTAGATAAAGAATGTGGGTGACCAAACAGTGAATGAGGACCAGCAAGTATTGGGTTGCCCACATTCTTCGAAATCTTTTGTGTTTTACAGGAGAAAGGATCTCTTTCAAGTTTAAAACAAGTTCAGAGTAAGTAAATATTGACAGAATTTGAATTTTGGGTCAACTATCCCTTTAATATTAATGAAACAACAATTTAATTTCAATTTCTTCATTCAATTAAATTCTTGAACACTGCTTCTAAATACACCTACTGTAACTTAAAAAATATAGAACATAGTTTGTTTTATTGGTATTATGTGTATATGTAATGTGAATCTTTGTTCCGTGTTTTATCTTTGTCATTCTTACCATTCTTTATTAATTTAATATTTAATTGCCTTGTGATTTTTGTTTTTAAAAGAAGAAATTAGATTGGCTATACTGCTCTGACAACTTTCAGATTAGTCAAACCAACATCACAAATCATGATAAAATGGTGAATCAATACTTTCCTAGATTTTTTCAATATCGCCCACCTCTGAGTATACTAAAAGCAGTTATCCTTCTAAAAGCATGTGCTTATGTGCAAGATCATCAACTTCATGTCGTTTTAAGTTACGTGCACGTTTTTCTCAGTGTTGAGGAAGTTCCTTTGAAGATCTTGGCCCACAACAGTCTTGTTGGCAGACTCATAGGGAAGGAGGGCAGGAACCTGAAAAAGATAGAGCAAGATACTGGGACCAAGATCACCATCTCTGCGTAAGTGTGGTATTCGTAAATTAATGGTGCAAAGATTTTGTTTAATATTTTTAATAGGAACTGGAATCAATTACTGAATTTATTGAATGTTCACCTCAATTGATAATTGTCATTTCCTTCATTTGTTGCAGATTACAAGACCTGACCGTTTATAACCAGGAACGTACCATCTCGGTGAGAGGAGGGGTAGAGGAGTGCTGTAAAGCAGAAGGGGAGATCATGAAGAAACTTAGAGAAGCCCATGAGAATGATGTAGCTTCAGTTAATGTGAGTATATCATAACTTTAGAGTTCATTTTCCATCTTCATTTCGATCAAAATGCTATGAGCAAAAGCGCAGCAAAATTTGCTGTCAAAGTTTACACTTGCTTTATTATATGATGAACAGATGTATTAAAAAGTAGCTATTGAAGTTTACACTTTAGTTACCATCATATTTTTTCTTTCACAATTTATCCGAATCATGAATTGCAACTTATGCTGCAAGAGGCCTGATAAACATCAGACACATTCCTTTACATTTTAACTGGAACAGGTTTAACAGTGCCAGAGAATGGCTTTAATCCTGTTTCTTTAATCCTAGTAAAGCAAAACTTGTTTTGCCTGGACAGATAATCTGGCAGAATGGCATTAATTCAGTACAACAGTTCAATCATTTAATTTGCTGATTTGGTAACTGTTTGATTCACAGTTGATTCTCGATCAAACCTGTAAAACTGGAAAAGACTTATTCATTTTAGTCTCTCAATTGCATTTGCAGACTCACTTGTACTCTATTATTGACATGTCTCTGTCTATCTGATTTTAGCAGCAGACTAACATGATGGCTGGCCTAAATCTGAGTGCGCTGGGGATCTTCTCCTCTGGCATGTCTGTTCTCCCTCCTGCCTCAGGGCTGCGTGGATCTCTGTCCACCCCTGCCAACTACAGCCCTCTGCTGGTGAGTATCATCACGTGCAGTCTGGCCACAAGCTGCTGCATTGGGACACTGAGATGTGAATGTCTGGACAAAAGAATGTTTGTGTATTATGTGTGTAAATTTGCATTTAAACATATAAGGGGACCTACATAAGGGGACATAAGGGGACCTATTATGCAAAAATACGTTTTATAAGGGATTTAAACACAGCTGTGCGGCAACATTGTGTGAATATAGCCAGCCTTTAATAGAAACATTTTTTTAATCACCTTTTATTCCACCCATTGGTCAAAACGCTCCCACATTAGCATAGACTGCCCTAAGTAAGAAGCAGCTGTCCGCCATTAGAGTTTTCACACTGTACCTGCTGAAGATAATGTCAGTGCATAATCTCCATTCCTACCTTTTTCTGAACCTTCTTCTTTTGAGTTTCAGTTTTTCAAAGAGATAACGTTAGTCCTGTTTTGAATCTGCCGCTATGGTGATGCATAGGAATTTGTAGCTTCACCCCTTTTTTTAACAGGGCTTGAGCACAATCTCATTGAATTTAAAGTGACAGTCACCAAGATGGCACAATTTGGATCAAAGAGTTTTCAAATTGTTTCAAAGAGTTATAATAAAATTATAATAAAATGCTATTTTGAGCTGTAATTTCACATACAGACTCTGGAGATATCAGAGACTTGTTTTCCATCTTGTAAATGGGGTATAAGAGGTCCACTTTAAGATGAGAGACTGCAGGAATAAAAACTGTTTTTTTTTTTTTTTTTTTTTTTTTTTGAGGTTTTTGGGATTCTCTAGGGTTAACAGAGAATGGTCTGAAAAAGAGGAAATATCTAGTGGGCGCAAATGCCTTGTTGATGCCCAAGGTCAGGGGAAAATGGTCAGACTGGTTTGAGCTGAAAGAATTGCAACAGTAACTAAAACAACCACTTTTTACAACCGATCTATGCAGAAGAGCATCTCTGAACGCATCTCATGTCCTACCTTAAGACCAAACAGGGTGCCACTCCTGGCAGCTAAGAACAGGCAACTGAGGCTACAATTCACACAGGCTCACCAAAATTGGACAATAGAAGATTGAAAAAATGTTGCCTGGTATGAGTCTCGATTTCTGCTGCGACATTCAGATGGTAGGGTAAGAATTTGGCATCAACACCATGAAAGCATGGATCCATCCTGCCTTGTATTAATGGTTCAGGCTGCTGGTGGTGATGCTGTAATGGTGTGGAGGATATTTTCGTGGCACACTTTGGGCTCATTAATACCAATTGAGGATTGTGTTAATGCCACAGCCTACCTGAGTATTGTTGCTGACCATGTCCATCCCTTTATGACTACAGGGTACCCATCTTCTGATAGCTACTTTCAGCAGGGTAGCAGGTGGATCATCTTAGACTGGTTTCTTTAAGATGACAATGAGTTTATTGTACTCAAATGGCCTCCACAATCACCAGATCGTAATCCAATAGAGCACCTTTGGGTTATGGTGAAGCAGGTGATTTGCATCATGGATGTGCAGATCTGCAGCAACTGTGTGATGCTTTCATGTCAGTATGGATCAAAATCTCTGAGGAATAGTTCTAGTACCTTGTTGAATCCATGCCATGAAGGATTAAGGCAGTTTTGAAGGCCAAAGGTGGTCCAACCTGGCACTAGTAAAGTGTACCTAACAAAGTGACCAGCGAATGTAGACTAATATTTGTTTTTATGGCACTTTTTGAATTTGTGTGTAGATTTCTATAGCAAAACATAGTTAACATTAAAGTCTGTTAAAATATTTAAAAAAATAATAATTAGGCTATAATTTTCAAACTTTTCAAATGCCAAAGTTACACCCAACTTTTAATTTTATTCACATCTACATTCTGAAGGTTTTAGAGAGGGATATGTTCATGCATCATTTATTTGATTAATTAAATAAATTATTATGAATAAGTATTCATGGATGTTAGCAGTATTATTATGAATTATGGATTGATAAATAGAGATACTTAAGTTCCCTTCTGATAAAATATTTTCACTCTAATTTGTAAAAAAAAGAAACAAGAATATTGAACCTGACTTTATTCAATGTTCAGATTGTTGTTTTCGAAATGTATAACAATTTTATGACAAAATCATCCTTATCATCTGCAGTGTCCAGCCTTAATTATTTATCTGTTTATTTTTAAATGCGTTTAAGATATCCTATGTGTGTATGTTTGCCATCACAGGGACCCTCAATAATGGGAGGTCTATATGGGGTTCCTTCTTCTGGAGCTTTATCTCTTCAGCAAGCAGTGAGTACTTGTTATTATTTCATTTAATTTTCTACTCTGCATAATTCTGTTTATTGTCACATAGTCTCATACTCGAGTAAAACATTTTAAATTGATGTGTGTGTGGGATAGTTCACCCAATAAAGAAAACTCTGTAATCATTTACTCACCTTTTTACCTTGTTTCAAATCTTTCTGAGTTTCTTTCATTGTTTTTTTTTTCATATTTTTATATTTTAACAAGTTCTGTAAGCAACATATTACACATTTTACATATTACACATAAACACATTTACCCAGTGTTATACACAATATATAATGCAAACTAATTTGTTTTATTAAAATATTTTATGTTATTGGATTATGAATAAGTATAAATATTTCGATTTATTTTATTAATAAATAAATAAATAAAAGCATGTTAATTCAAAGTTGTTACCTAATTTTACCACATTTTTATTTATATTTTAATTATTAAGTCTTTAACTTTGTACTTTATGATCCATGGGGGTCAAACAATAGTTTGTGTGTCTATTTTCAATGCATTTATTACTGTGCATTCAGTTTTTGCATTCAAGATTTTTTTTTTTAAAACCTACCAGAAGATATAGTGTTTATGTGTGTATTGAGTCAAATTTTATAAAGTGTGAAGATTTTGAGACCTTTTGGGTTGATTCTTTAATTTAGCCATTTTTCAGTTTCCCACTTGAATCTGTTCAAGTGAAGTGAATATCTGTTCATCTGTTCACTCTCTCTTGCTTTTGTCAACATATCTAAGTAAGGTAATGCTGTAAAGTTGATTTGCACCTATTTTATAAGCACTGTATGAATAATTGTATCTTGGCAAGTAAGATTACTTACTTTTTGTTTATGTGCGTGTGTGTGTGTGTGTGTGTGTGTGTGTGTGTGTGTGTGTGTGTGTGTGTGTGTGTGTGTGTGTGTGCGCGTGTGTGTGTGCGTGTGTGTGTGTGTCAGGGTGGTGAACAGGAAGTGGTTTATCTCTTTATCCCCACTCCGGCAGTTGGAGCTCTCATTGGAAAGAAAGGGCAGCACATTAAAGAGCTGGCACACTTCGCTGGAGCCTCAATAAAAGTGAGACACTTACAGACACACGCTGATTCCCACTGCAGTTCACTTCACTCTCAGTGCCAACATTAACCAGCTTTAAATTGGGCTTGAATGAGAGAATGAATTGAAGCAGATTGTGTGTTAAGGCTTGTTATTTAATTTAGTTTTCTCTAAAGGGTATTGTCACTTAATAAAACTGTTACTTTTTTATTTGGTAAATGGTATTTAGTCAATGGTTGTGGTTTTGTTTAAATCAGGGGTGGCCAAACTTTTTCTTATGGAGCCCCAAAAAACAAAAATAATTGAGGGCTGTGGGCTAAAGGTAAATATATCAAATTGTATTACATTTGCTAAGGTAATTTTCTATCTAATTTTTTAAATAATATTTAAAAATAAATATAAATCATTACTTTAATTGAATTAGGCTAACTAGTTAATTTCATAATTAATTTATTAAAATGAAAACAAAAAATTCCATTTATAACACAATGGAGTTCAATGCCCATTTAAATGATAATAAAAAACATTTCATTAAAACTTTAATTTAAGCTTGCTTTTTTTTTTTTTTTTTTTTTTTGGAATTCAATAATAAAACAAACAAAAGATTAAAGGACTCCTATGATGAAAATAAACCATTGTAAGCTGTTTGGAAAGAACTGTTTATGTATAGTGTGTTCACTGTCATATTGGAGTAAAATGAATCTATCAAGTCTTTTTTTTTTTTTTTTTTTTTTTTTTTTTTACATTTTCTGACATTAAAATAGGACCCTAATCCCAGTGATTGACTGATAGGCACCATGTTTCTGTAATAACATGTATAAACATGAACACGGAACATTTTGCAAATAAACTAGGATTAAAATAAACTCTTTCAAGTTTAAAACGTTTTTAAAACAGAGCATGTTTGCAATTGCACGAAGCATGTCGAATTGCACGAAAAAAAATCTGTAAAACTGCGAGACCGCGAAAAGTGAACCGCATTATATCAAGGGAAATTTGAAACAACTAAAACAATTTGAAATAAAGAGTATATGGGTAATCTTTATTATCATTATATAAATTATAATATGTAATGTGATTTAATTTGTATTTATATAGTGCATTTACCATGAATGGTCATTCATCCAAATTGCTTCACAATCAATTAGGGGCGTCTCTCCACACAACTACTAGTGTGCAGCATCCACTTGGATGGTGCGACGGCAGCCAAAGGAGAGCGGCGCCAGTGCACTCACCACACACCAGCTATTGGTGGAGTGGAGAGACAGTAATAGAGCCAGTTTGGTGGATGGGGATGATTAAGACACCATGATTGTAAGGGCTGATTAAGGGACTTTTGGCCAAGACACCAGGGTTACACCCCTACTTTTTTACAAGAAGTGCCATGGGATTTTTAATGACCACAGAGAGTCAAGAACTCGGTTTAACGTCTCATCAGAAAGACGGATATAATATAATTTAATATAATATAATATAATATAACATAACATAACATAACATAACATAACATAATATAATATAATATAATATAATATAATATAATATAATATAATAAATAATAATATAATAAAATACAATGTAAGGTGACACGTCGCCTCCCCTCATTAATACGTCACAGCGAAATTAACCGCCAACTTATCCAGCACGTTTTTATGCAGCGGATGCCCTTCCAGCCGCAACCCATCTCTGGGAAACATCCACACACACACATTCACACACACACTCATACACTACAGAAAATTTTGCCTACCCAATTCACCTGTACCGCATGTCTTTGGACTGTGGGGGAAACCGGAGCACCCGGAGGAAACCAAAGCGAACGCTGCGAGAACATACAAACTCCACACAGAAACGGCAACTGACCCAGCGACCTTTCTGCTGTGAGGTAACAGCACTTCCTACTGCGCCACTACGTCGCCACTATATTATATTATATTATATTAAATTATATTATATTATATTATATTATATTATATTATATTATATTATATTATATTATATTATATTAATTGCTGGATAAGTTGGCGGTTCATTTTGCTGTGGCGACCCCAGAATAATATAGGGTCTAAGCCAAAAATTAATTAGTTATATAATATAATATAATATTCATTCATTCATCTTTTGCCGCTTTTCCGGGGCCGGGTCACGGGGGCAGCAGTCTTAGGAGAGAACCCCAGACTTCCCTCTCCCCAGACACTTCCTCCAGCTCCTTCGAGGGGATCATGAGGCGTTCCCAGGTCAGCCGAGAGACATAGTCCCTCCAGCAGGTCCTGGGTCTTCCCCGAGGCCTCCTCCCAGTGGGACATGCCTGGAACACCTCCCTAGGTAGAAGTCCAGGAGGCCTCCGAAACAGATGCCCGAGCCACCTCAGCTGACTTCTCTCAAGGTGGACGAGCAGCGACTCTACTCGGAGCTCCTCCTGGGTGTCAGAGCTCCTCACCCTATCCATAAGAGTGCGCTCTGCCACCCTACAAAGGAAACTCATTTCGGCTGCTTGTATCCGAGATTTTGTCCTTTCGGTCATGATAAAAAGCTCATAACCATAGGTGAAAGTAGGAACGTAGATTGATCGGTAAATCGAGAGCTTTGCCTTTTGGCTCAGCTCCTTCTTCACCACTTCTGACCGGTACATCGACCGCATTACTGCTGCTGCTGCACCAATCCGCCTGTCAATCTCACGTTCCATCCTTCCCTCACTCGTGAACAAAATCCCGAGATACTTAAACTCCACCTGGGGTAAGAACTTTCCTCCAACCTGGAGATGGCAAATCACCTTTTTCCGGTGGAGCACCATGGCCTCGGACTTGGAGGTGCTGACTCTCATCCCAGCCGCGTCACACTCGGCAGCAAACTGCCCTAGTGCATGCTGAAGGTCCATGAAGCCAACAGAACAACATCGTCTGTGAATAACAGAGATGAAATCCTGTGCTCCCCGAACCCGACCATCTTAGCCTAAGGCTGCGCCTTGAAATTCTGTCCATAAAAATTTTGAATAAAATTGATGACAAGTGGCAGCGTTGCCGGAGTCCAACATGCACTGGAAACAAATCTGACTTATTGCTGGCAATACGAACTAGACTCTTACTGTTCATACAGGGACGAGACGGCCCTCAAAAGATCGCCTCTGACCCCATACCCCATAGCGGCAAAAAATACCAAACTGAGTCCTGTGGCATTTGGCAGTTACTAGAGCACAGCCACAAAATATGGTTAAAAAATGAAATACTTTCTGGAAAATGATTCATATTTACATGGGTAAAGTGGCTCTACAGTCTAGACCAGGTGTGGGCAAACTTGATCCTGGAGGGCCAGTGTCCTGCATAGTTTAGCTCCAACCCTATTCAAACATACCTCCCTATAGAGTTCAAGTGATCTTGAAGACACTTATTGGTTTGTTCAGGTGTGTTTGACTACTGTTGGAACAAAACTCTGCAGGGACACCGGCCCTCGAGGATCAAGTTTGCCCATCCCTGGTCCAGACAGTCAGTTGTAATTTAATGATTTGATGCAATAATACAACCCATTGTTTAAAGGCTGCAATCACAGTGCTGCAGAACCCAGCTGAAATATAGAAGTAAACATAGAAAGTAGCAGTTGAGATTCTTTTTTATTGCTACCTAAATGCTTAAAGAAGACTAAATAGAAAAAAAATCTGTGTTTTGTGCTTCTTTAGATTGCTGCACCAGAGAGCCCTGATGAACCCGAGAGGATGGTCATTATCACTGGACCACCAGAAGCTCAGTTCAAGGTAAAAGATGCAATCTGATTGCTTAAACTCCCAGTCGTAAAAATAGATTCTATTAGGCATGTTTCACATCCACCTGTATATTTGTTCTTCATTTATCTTGTTTGTATATGTGTGTGGTTGTAGGCACAGGGAAGGATATATGGGAAGCTGAAAGAAGAGAATTTTTTCACAGCTAAAGAAGAGGTGAAGTTGGAGGCGCATATAAAGGTGCCATCAACTGCTGCAGGACGAGTCATTGGAAAGGGGGGCAAAACGGTAGGTGTGCTTGTTTGTGTTTCAACTTTTCTCATCAAGGGACTGAACATGACTGATTGTATTCTTCTTTTGTTCTTTTTTTTTAAGGAAAATACAGTGCTCATCATATATGAGTACACCCCTCACTAATCTCTCATTTAAATTAATATTTTCTATAGGAAGCTATATTATATTTGTGCATATACATTCGTTTAGTCAGTACTGAAGCCAAATCTGGAGCTTATCTAACAAAATAACTTACAATAATGGTTAAAAAATTAGTAGCCCAATTTTATATGTTAGGGGAAAATAGTAAGTTTTTTTTTCAGTTTGGTGACTGAATTATTATTTGGTGACTGATTTATTTATTACTAAATAAATCTGTTCAACAAATCTGCAATGTGCAAATGCACCAATATACATTACCCATATTCACTGAGAAATGGATAAAATATTCTTTTTCAAAATGGAATGTACTCATTTATGCTGAGCACTGAATGTGTTATGTACTTTTTTGTGTTGTTTAAGAGTAAGATTGTTACTTTTAAAAGTAACTACACCCAACACCAATTACTGAATGACATTGTGTGTTAAGAAACAGTAAAACATACACACAGAGTAGGCAATAAAGTAATGAAAATTGCATAAAAACATTAACTTTAAGATTAATATTAACTTAAAATAAAAACAGAAACCAATAATTCATATTTTGCTGTTTCATCTTGTGATGAATAATGGCACCTCTTTAAAGGGATAGTTAAAACAAGAATGAAAATTCTGTAACAGAGTCTGTGTGTTTGACCTCTGACCTCCTATCACCCACAGGTCAATGAGCTGCAGAATCTCACCAGCGCCGAGGTCATTGTACCACGGGACCAGACACCAGATGAGAACGATGATGTATTTGTCAAAATAATTGGACATTTCTTTGCCAGTCAGGTATGGTTTTGACAATCTCCCAGGTCTTAAACCTTTTACTTTTTTGTTGTTTAAAAGACTGGTGTCAAGCCGTCATTACAATAAATCAAATCAAAATTAATAACTCAAAATTGATTTTCATTCTAAGGTTTCTGATTAGACAATAAAAAGTTATTTTATGATTTTATTTACATACAAACATGAATTAATGCCCAAGGAGTAACCCAAGAAGGGAAATCATACTAATTGGGAACTACTGTAACTACCTTAAACTATTTAAGTGTAAGTAACACAAGAGTAGTGAATCTATTGTTTAAAGAAATACATTGGAAAAAAACAGCCACAGTATAAGAACTAAAATATTATGGAATTCAACGACTGCTGTTTTCCCAACATGCTTCAGTATTTCTTTCTTTGTGTAAAACAGAACAAATCAACTCAGAACGGATTTTAAACAAGTGGAGGATATGTATATAGTCAAACCCAAAATTATTCATACCCCTGGCACATTCTGAAGCAATTTTTTTTTTTTTTTACCAGAAATTACATGGGCTTCTCATTATTTACAAAATACATCATTGTAGAAAAACAAATGTATTTCTCAGCTTTTATTTACCTTTGAACAAAAAGTGGCATTTCAAAAATTATTGAAACGTTGCAGGCCATACCCACACATACATTGATATTTTTAAAATTAATTTTAAAAAGTCTCTGTCCACATGAAATTGCAAAAATGCTCTAGGATGCATGTTAAGAACATGCCGAACCAACAGGGGGCAATTTTATTGAATTTTTTTGCCACTTTTGTTAGAGAAGTAACGGAATGTTTGATTCATTTGGACAAATTATTCCACAGGTCACTGGAGACAGGTTTACACTACATAACAATGTATAAACATTAGCTGTTGATGTAAATGATCTATTTGCATGTGCCCTCCAGTCACCTTTTGGCTACAATGTGCTTGTTTACAGACGGCCCAACGCAAGATCAGGGAGATCGTTCAACAGGTCAAACAGCAAGAGCGGAAGCACCAGCAAATGCCGCAAACACCTTCTGAACAATCAAATTGATCAGCAGACGCCAGCAAGCAGCAGCTAATGAATGTAGCTCATGCAAGGACAAATCGAAAAAAATTAAAAGAAAGAATTAAAGAGAAAGAAAGATTTAAAGAGATACTCAAAATGCGAATGAGACAGAGCAGGAAGCAGAGAGAGGGAGAAAAGATGATAAAGATGACCAGCAGTTAAAAACAACCAAAGAACCTTAAGCACAAAAACGTGTTTTTTGCGCATGAAAAACCCCCAAAAGTGATGATTGAAAGTGTTATCAGGTCAAAGAGATACCTGATATTTCTTTGAGCCCTTTTTAAAAAAGATGAAAAGACGAAAGAATATATGGAGGGTATGTGCACTGTGATGTGAGTGCTGGATGTGATGATGGCACACTGTGGGTAGATCTCTACATGTGGATTGTGCCCAAAGTATACTTTGTCATATATGTGTTTGCTAGAATCTGCATACATTGCGTGTGATGCAGATTTCTTTGGATAACTGAGGTACTTTCATTTTTTAGTTCAATTTGCAAGTCTGGCTTGCATAGTTTTCATAGTTCCCTACCTAGTATAACCAATACAAATTCCAAATTTAGCTTTGTATTAGCCAAGATGTTTATACTTAGATTTTTATTATAGGCTTTTAAACACAAAATTGCTTGGTAGGTGGGCATTGCTAGAACTTTTGCTTTAGAATTTGAGCTAAAGAAATATGTAACAAAGCAAAAACAGTACAGTTATATAAGGGAATAAAAAGGCATACATGCAACTATTTTAAGAGAGTACACAGACATCTATTATGCATTTCAGTGTCTTGTCTGTTGTATTCATTTACACTATCAAATGGAGAATTTTTTGAGTCTGTTGTTTTGGCTATGTGCACGCACATATGGAAAAAAAATAAAGTGTACTTTGGGCTTTAGGTGTATTAATTAATGAACTTATATAATAAATTGCACAGCTATGTTAAAACAATCCTAAAATAAAAAAATATTGTATAGATTTATTTAGCAAAATTTGCTTTTGTAATATATTTATATACACACCACAAGATAATCAGGCTAATTTAGCTGTGGCCTAAAGAATACGAGTAAGAGATTATTATGCAAAGTTAAACATTGTTGTTGTCAAACATTGATGTTGTTGTCGCACGTGTACTGAAGAGCGGTGTTGTCGCTCGCATTCTGATCAGCTGTGTTGTTGCGCGTTTACTGTAAAGCTGGGGGTGGGGAGCGCGCGTACTCAAGAGCTGTGTTGTCACGCGCCTATTGAAGGGCGGTGGGTGGGGGCGGTGAGGGTTGGGGGTGTCGCGGGGGCACTTTTGATCATTTTGGAAGGGCACTTTCTATCCAAGACTAGAAAGGGCATGTGCACTGCACAGGTTGAGCCTTAGCCCTATGTGTGCACGTGCCTGGTGGCAACAGTGCAAATGTTTGTTTATTCATGTGTATTTTTCAAGTGTCAAGAGATTTTATGAGATTTAAAGTATTCACATTCGGGACTTTGTTCCACCACAACACACAACATAGGAGCAAAACTCCTATAGTGAATTCAATTTTTATGTTTTTGGTCTTCATGTTTGTGGTGTTTACCATGTAGAAAATCTAATGTGCTTTGTAAATTCTTTAGTGTGTACTCAGCCAAATTATTACAAATATATCCTAGATACATTCAATGATATTATAGCATGTATGACGAAAGTAGAGAGCTAACATGTGTGCCAGCATTTGACTTCCAGATCCTCTTTTATACTGCTGAGTCTGAGCTTTTATCTCTGTTTGCTGTTCTGTTCTCTTTTTCTCGCTCTTATTTGTATTCATTTTTAAATGTTTCCCCACACATATCTTATTCCTCACACAACACGAGAGCTGTCTGTGTGCCAACTGCACATAAAAGCAGAATTACTGTACAGTTGCAAAGCACAAAAAAATGTGCATCATCTTCGGGAATCTAAATGTACTGTACACCCCACTTGTGATTTTACACGTAATCTTAATATTAACCGACTAGCATTCAGTTTAGAGTCAGTGAGTATAATGGAAATACTTTTTATTTGCATAAATCAAGTGACAGTAAAGGCATTTGAATATTACTAAATATATATAAATCTTTTACCAAATTAACTTTCTCATAAATTATAACACTGAAGTACTGCTAAAGGTTCAGCGTTGCTATCACATGAATAAATTGTATTTTAAACTAAAATTCATTCAGTGTTTCAGATTTAATCTGCAAATTTTACTGACCCCAAACAGCAGTGTACACACTTGAAAAAGCAGAATTTGATGTGTAATCTGCAATGTGTCTGTAGGTCCTGTAATAGGAGCCCATGGAAGCCTTTTTAGGTCTACCTGACACTCATGAATGTACTGTATATGATGCTAATGCCTTCCGCAAGCATACTTTTTGTGGAGCAAATCAATATACCCCCCCCTTTTTTTTTTTTTCTCCCCCTATTGTTATGCGCTGAAATGAGTGCACTGTTTCTTTTGAAAGTTCTTTTTGAAACGTGACATCAGAAAATGACGGAGAAAATGTCTGCAAACTACTATTATTATTTGAATTTTTATTTGTAAAAACATTTCTTTGATATATAATGACGATAAATTCAATAGGTGAAGAATAAAAATGACATCCTTAACCCTTGCACGTTGGAAAGGCCAATGGAATCAAATATAAATGTATATATGCTCAAAATACAGTTGACTGATCAAATGCAAACAACCAGCATTGCAGTTATGTACAGTTTAAACCTAATCATAGAGCATACTGTAAGATTGATATTAAGCATCCACGATTGAGATATGAAAATCATATTTTGAAAGTCCACACAGCTGTGTGTGAATCAGTACAATATAACGTTCTACCTCAAGAACAGGGTACCTCAGTCCGATCTTTTCTCCCTTTTGCATATTTTGTATACCTTGTAGAGCTCTCAAACTTAGAGCTTTTTTTATTTTTCTAAATAAAAGAACAAGAAAAAAAGAGTTAGCGCAAGGCACAAATAAGACCTGCTCGTTCTTGCAAAAAGAGGTTTCAGACCGCTTCACGAGAAACTAATCGTTGCTTTATGGACCGTTTGGATCGAATGAACTCTGAGGTTAAAACAACTCTTGGGCAACTGAACATTTGGGTTGACAGTACTTCGTTTCTTGCAGTTTTATGTTTGTACTAAAATAATCGTCTCAACAAGTAGTCTTGTCTAAGAATACAGCTTAATCCAACTATACGCAGTGTTCTTTAGCCTGTATGGAGACATTTAGAAAATGTTATCTTTATGTTACTGTTACAAATGGCTCTGTAGTTTATAATCTGTATTTCAAGGTCATGTCTGATGAAATGGCCACTAACACGTCAGCTTTGAATTTATTCTAACATCGTATTTGTGTGAGGTTTTAGTATAGGAATAATCTCCGACAGTTTAATATTAGTGTAATAACAGTAGGCACGATTGAATTTGATCTTTTCAATTTGGGTTTCTGTAGAAAAAAAATTGCTGTGTCAAACCGGATGGTGTCCGGCTGTCTCAAGACCATCTCTTCTCATATCATTTACAAAGACATCATGTAGATGAAACATAATCTTTGCCGTAGTACTTATCTGCAGCTGTTTCTGTGTCTGTTTCTCATGTCTTTCTAGACCACATATAATAAATCACTTTGGGTGTTAATGCTGATCTGACATCAGTTTTTGATATCGATTCATATAATGACATCATGTGAAGTCAATGAAGGGTAAACAAACTAATTTCAGACTTAGGGTGTTAGTTAAAAGTGGGAGGGTTAAGTGAATATTCATGAATACACTTGTCTGTTTTTATGTTTTTTGGAAGGGTCACAATACCTTCCTTATGGATTTGAGCAATAAAGAGTGTTTCAAACAACATCTAAATCAGTATATCAGTTCATTGGTGTCACTGATGAAAACTTGTATACTGTACAGGGAGATTTAAAAAAAATACCACAATTTTTGGGTTGATGTCACTGTATCTGGAGAGGGTCATATTGAACATCTATGAACTTGTTTTCTACTGGGGAAAAAAAAAAAAAAAAACTTTAGGTACTCCACATTGAATATTCAAGGTTCCATAATGTTTCATCCGATTAAATACAGATTTTCAAAGTTGTGGTATTCTTTTTGAATCACCTTGTAATTATACAGTTGGTCAAATTTTACAGTTCCGGCCTGTGAAATTGTACTTATTTGTATAGTGTGCTGTAAATAAAGAGATTTTTAACACAGAAAAAAGCAACTAATAGTTAATAACTAAACAATTTTTATTTATTCATTCATATTCCTTCGGCTTAGCCCTTTATTCATCAGGGGTCACCACAGCAGAATGAACCGCCAACTTATCCAGTATATGTTTTGCACAGTAAATGCTCTTCAAGCTGCAACCAAGTACTGGGAAACATCCGACCAATTTAGTTCACATATAGCGCATGTGTTTGGACTGTAGGGGGAAACCGGAGCACCCGAAGGTAACCCATGTGAACATGGGGAGAACATGCAAGCTCCACAAAGAAATGCAAACTGATCCAGCCGGGACTCGACCCAGCGATCTACTTGCTGTGACATTACAGTGCTAATCACTGAACCACCATGTTTCCCTCTAAATAATTTTGTTGACAATAAATACATAATTTGTTTGATACTTTATTTACAAGGTATTCAGCTTACATTGCAATTCAAAGAAATTCAAAGTAAGCTAAATATTTTGTAAGCTGTGTGATCAACTAAACTCTCAGAAATAAAGGTACAGAAGCTGTCACTGGGTCAGTACCTTTTGAAAAGGTACATATTTGTACCCGAAGAGTCCATAATGGTACCTCAAAGGTACTTTTTAGGTACATTTGGGTACTATTAAGCATCTTAAAGGTGACACTGTCGACAATTTGGGTACAAATATGTATCTTTTAAAAAGGTACTGTACCTTTATCTCTGAGAGTGTATAAGCTTCCTCACATTGAACTATGTGGAAATATTTCATTTGATTTTGCTGTGCAGCTGCCAAACTAAAGTTTGTTTAGTTCAACTGCATTGTACTTACTGTGTAAATGTTCCATGGGTTTTAACAGATTTTTAAAATTAGCAGAAAATTTGTGAAATATGGCCCTGAACATATAGTAGGTTATGAGAAAATGATTTAGTTTCAAATGAATGCTTTTTATTACATTAATGATGTTTTGAACTTTAAAAAAAACGTCTTAATATTGAAAATTGCAAAGTTTTATTTTTTCTTTTTTTTTTAAAGAAAGAAACTTTCACAACCTCAGTATGCATTAAGACAACAGTTTATTTTTCCAGCTTTAGCTGACTTTAAAAAGCACAAGACCCTAAAAGTTTTGTAATGTACTTATTAATCAAGTAGCACCTGTTCATGCAATTCTTACAATTGCAAATTACATTTTTTTTTTCAAAGGATGTCAAATAAGCCTTAGTAACAAACTGCAAATAATGAACATAATGTTGCTTATGGAAAATGTGTGGGTAGGATTTCTAAAAATCACTTATAAAATATTTAATATTTTAAATATTTAAAGCTTTTTAAGAGCCTTAAGTGCACAGAGGCTCTGGTGATAAGTACAGCAGGACTATAATTACCAATTCTGTTTTCACAATTGTAGTAATTGGAACTTTTTGCTTCACAATTTTAAAAAGAAGAGCTAGGAATTCTGTCTTATTGCAGTTCTGACTTTCTCAAAATTCACATTTTACATTTCACAGCTTTGCAATTCAGAAAAAAAAAATAGCCAAGTCAGAATAGAGAGATATTAGTTACAAATGAACTTTTTTTTCAGTGGCTAAAACAAAGTGAATTGATATACATTTAATATAAAATATTTAAGGGAAAATATTTGTTCACTTTTGTTAATTGTGTAAACCTTACAAAACACATGACATTTATAGATATTTACAGATGCTACAAATAAATAAAGCCTTAGCATACAAACAAACATAGCTAAATCTTTTTTACTTCAATCAAAAACTTAAAGCTCTTCAAAACTGTAAGCTGTCCTGAATCTGTTTTCCTATAAAATGAGGCAATTTCCAGTGCTATATATTGTATGTAATAAATCAGCAGTTGGAGTGTATCCTCCATTAAGACATTGACAATCTCTTCTTTGGCACATCTGATAACTACTATTTAGTATTTACGTCCATTTAATTTCCACTCTTCTTTATAAGGCTTTGACCCCAGGCCAATGATCAGTCCTTTTTCAACAGACACAGTGTCCTATTTAGTCTCTCCTTGGGTCATCTAGTCTTGCGATCATTCAGGATCTTCTGGTGTCCATTGGGCTCCAGGCCGTGGAGTTTGAGGTGGTCTTTACTGTAGCGACGGATCAGAGCTCCAGGAAGCAGCGCCACACACGCGATCAGCAGCAGCTGCAGCAGGGTGAACCATGAAAAGATGTCATCCAGAGAGTTGATCTCTGACAAGACGGCACCCGTATGGACACAGATGAAGTTGTAAGGGATTAAACCTAGGGAGAGAAATAAAGGTTTTGTTAAGTTTTTTTTTCTATAGCGTTTTTATTTTTAATGTAAATAATATACACACACACATATATATATATATATATATATATATATATATATATATATATATATATATATATATATATATATATATATATATATATATATATATATATATGAACAGGTTAAAGTTAAACAATAAAAATCCCATCATGACAGAACATATTGAATGCATCAGACAGCAGAATAATTTATTATGAATTTGAAAAAATTTAAAACTGCTTGTATTCTAGCCAAAATAAAACAAATAGGACTTTTTCTAGAAGAAAAAATATCAGACATACTGTAAAAATTTTCTTGCTCTCTCAAACATCATTTGGGAAATATTTAAAAAAGGGAAAAAAAATCAAAAGGGGGCTAATAGTTCTGACTTCAACTGTATATAGGTGAAATGCAGATTTCTGAAATTAATTCAGATATTACCACATTCAAGTATGCTGATGACATGTCTGTGGTTGAACTTAGGGTCTAAGGAAAGGAGGAGCTAGAGAGGGTCTACTTTGAGCACATAGAACATCTGGTGACATGGTGCGAGGAGAGTGGTTTGTCACTAAATGCTTTGAAAACTAAGGAACTAATTATTGTAGGAAAGGGCAGCCTATATTTCATTCAGTTACCATTGAGGGTCAACATGTGGAGATTGTAAACAGTTTTAAGTATCTGGGGATGATTTTAGATAGTGGCTTTAATTTTGGTGAACACGCAGACTATATCTATAAGAAGGCAACACAGAGACTCTTTCTTTTAAGGAAATTAAATAGTTTTAATGTTAGTATGGGTATTCTGAGAAAGGTTTATACCAGTCTGGTTGAAAGTATTATCTCCTATAATATTTCTTGCTGGTACCGAAATCTTGGAGCTAGAAGCATGTATAAACTTGTAAAGATCGTTAACACCGGTAGTAAGATCAGAATGGACCCCCAGAAGCAGCTTGTGGAACTGTATATAAATCAAACCAGACGGAAAGCCTCACAGATAGTTCAGGACTCAACTCATCGTCTTTATTATGAATTTGAAAAGCTTCCTTCTGGTAGACGATACAGAGTACCCACAGCAAAAACAAATATTTTTAAGAAATCTTTTATACCGTTATGCTATTACCATATTGAATAAATGACAATGAAGTAGATAAACGTATGTCTAGGGTTGAGGTTTGGTAATCTGTGGTGTAGAAAGCTTTGTGTTTGTGTTTGTGCTCTGTGTCTGTGTTTTGTATTTGTGATGTTTGGGAGGCCAAAAATGAACTACACGTGTGGACAATAAAGTTTTCTATTCTATTCTATTCTATTCTATTTTATTCTATACTATACCGTACATTTTAAGTGAAATGTTACATTGCGAATGGAGACAATGATTTAATACATCCAGCACCTTAAATTGTCCATTCATTTCCAATTGATTGATTGATTGGTTGGTTGATTGATTGATTGATTGATTGATTGATTGGTTGATTGATTGATTGATTGATTGATTGATTGCAACCAATCACACAGTTTTCTGTTGCACTTAAATTTAGGTGTTGTTTGTAAACTGACAAATTTTGTTTGCACCCCAACAAATTATTTCATAGTGCTGTGCTAACATCAGCATTTTTGTTTGGGTTGCTATATTATGACAAACAATTTCCCACAAAACACATCATTCCATATTCTGCAATAATACTTTTTGGTTTTGATATTGCACCCCTACTCTGTATTGAGTATAGGATTTTTTTTATGGAATAGTTTATATACAGTTTTAAACAGTTGCTGATAACATTTTGTTAGAAAGTTATTGGTAAAAATTCCAAATGAGAAACTGATAACATAAGTAATATGTATTTGACATACAAGACAATAGAGTAACAAATAATTAGGTAATGAAATAAAATAGTCACACAAATATTTCTGAAACTGCTAAGCAGATATTAACCAAACAGTCTACTAATAATCTAATCACTGCTAGCTGACATGTAGTTTTAAAGTTACTTAAAGTCAACATGCAACAGATTCATTTTTATTATAAGCTCAGAAAAAAAAGAACTGCAATGTACTGTTATTACACCTCCAACAAAGAAAATATATTCATGTATAAGTGCATGAGTAAAGTAATGCTCACCAATGAGGATGGAAAAGAAGAATATAGGGATGGGGATGTTGAGGATTGGTGAAGTGACGTTCAAGAACCAATTGGGTGTCATGGGAAAGAAGCGCAGAAAGAGCAAGAAGAAAAACAAACTGCTCCTGTTCTCTTCCACCTGATAAAAAGACATATATCATCATCATATTTCAACTCAGAAATTGTAAAGATAACAGATGAAAATAATTATAATCATTTAGAAAAAAAATATTAAAGAGATAGTT